AAAATGTGAAGACCTGAGTTCTGCACCCCAGATTCCTATAAAAGCTGCACACAACAGTGCATGGCTATACCTCAGTACTGGGGACATGGAGAACTGGTAGAAACCCAGATCTTTCTGGTCAGCCAGTCTAGTAAAAAAAAAAATGAGCTCCAGGTTCAAGGATAGACCCTGTCACAAAAAAGAAAGGAAGGAAGGAAAGAAGGAAGGAAGGAAGGAAGGAAGGAGGGGGAGGTAGAGGGGGGAGGGAGGGAGGAAGGAGGAAGGAGGGAAGGAAGGAAGGAGGAAGGAGGAAGGAAGGAAGGAAGGAAGGAAGGAGGGAGGAAGAAAGGAGGAAGGAAGGAAGGAGGGAGGGAAGAAGAAAGGAAGGAAGGAGGAAGGAAGGAAGGAGGGAAGGAGGGAGGAGGAAGGAAGGAAGGAAGGAGGAGGAAAGAAGGAAGGAGGAAGGAAGGCAGGAAGAAGGGAGGGAGGGAGGAAGGAAGGAGGAAGGAAGGAAGGAAGAAGGGAGGGAGGGAGGAAGGAAGGAGGAAGGAAGGAAGGAAGGAGGGAAGAAGAAAGGGAGGAAGGAGGAAGGAAGGAGGGAGGAAGGAAGGAGGGAAGGAGGGAGGAAGAAGGAAGGAAGGAAGGAGGGAGGGAGGAAGAAAGGAGGAAGGAAGGAAGGAAGGAAGGAAGGAGGGAAAAAGAAAGGAAGGAAGGAGGAAGGAGGAAGGAAGGAAGGAGGAAAGGAGGGAGGAAGGAGGAAGGAGGAAGGAAGGAAGGAAGGAAGGAAGGAAGGAGGGAGGAAGGAAGGAGGGAAGGAGGGAGGAGGAAGGAAGGAAGGAGGGAGGGAAGAAGAAAGGAAGGAAGGAGGAAGGAGGAAGGAGAAAGGAAGGAAGGAGGGAGGAGGAAGGAAGGAAGGAGGGAGGGAGGAAGAAAGGAGGAAGGAAGGAAGAAAGGAAGGAGGGAAAAAGAAAGGAAGGAAGGAGGAAGGAGGAAGGAAGGAGAAAGTCAGGAAGGAGGAAGGAAGGAAGGAAAGGAAGGAAGGAAGGAGGAGGAAAGAAGGAAGGAGGAAGGAAGGCAGGAAGGAGGGAAAAAGAAAGGAAGGAAGGAGGAAGGAGGGAAGGAGGGAGGAGGAGGAAGGAGGAAGAAGAAAGAAAGGAGGGAGGAAGGAGGAAGGGGAAGGAGGGAGGAAGGAAGGAGGGAAGGAAAGAGGAAGGAGGAAGGAAGGAAGGAGGGAAGGAGGGAGGAGGAAGGAAGGAAGGAGGAGGAAAGAAGGAAGGAGGAAGGAAGGCAGGAAGAAGGGAGGGAGGGAGGGAGGAAGGAGGAGGAAGGAAGGAAAAAGGGGGGAGGGAGGAAGGAAGGAAGGAAGGAGGAGGAGGAAGGAAGGAAGGAGGAAGGAAGGAGGGAGGGAGGGAGGGAGGAAGGAAAGAGGAGGAAGGAAGGAAGGAAAGGTGGAGAGCAATCAAGGAAGAAGATGGTGACATTGACCTTTGGCCTTCACATGCACACAGCACATGCATACATACACATGCATGCACATAGAGAAAGCTGAGCCTCTTCCCCATGGTGCCTCACAAACAGGCTGCTTCCTGAAAAATAGTGTCTCATCTTCCCCCCGTCACCACCACTTTCTGGGCTTCTTTTTAGTGCCAAAATAAGTCCAGGGAAGTCCACTTTTGTTCCAAACAGGGATGATTGATTTTGCTCCCAGAACGTGCCAACGTCTTTAAAGAACTATGTTCTGCTAGTTTTGACATCTGTAGTTTCAAAAATGCACAGTAGGTAATTAGCACAGCACGGCAGTGGAAATAGTCTGGTCTGGGGAAGAGAAGTGGACATGTGTACATGAAATGTACAGGCATATAAGGAAGTGGCATGTTAAAAACACCATCTTCATAGGGAAACCATATTATCTAATAAGTAGTGTCAGGACACAGGTTTGCTTTGCTTAGCGGGGAACCTACTGGCTTCGGGGCAGAGGGTCTGTCTGATCGGTGACAGAGTCATAAACTCTGGGACCTGTGTCTTCCCAACAGGATGATTTATTTTAGAATTTAGATGGTTTTTATACATCCCAAGGAACTAGCAGCCACGTGGGATATGGCAGTCACACACAAAGATTTAGGGTACAAAGAAACAGGACATTTAGTCTATTAGTTGGCACCAGAAGGATTCTTAAACTTTTACTCAAGGTTATCAGTGCCCATCCAGTAATTCATTGGCCACAGTGTTTTCTTTCGTAGAGCTAAAAGCATGGTGAACGTTTAGCTTTTAGCTCAGGAGTAAACCTTTAACCCTGCACTTTTATGACCAGGCCGCTTCCTCCTGCCAGTCTAGCAGTGTTCTGTAAGGCAGGGATTATCACAGCCACCGTTTTCAGTGCCCCTCCCTTTAGCAGAGAATGCAGCCTGGACCTATAAGTTTTAGGCTCACCTCACCCTAGGGCCTGGCATCCTGGTTTCCTACAAAGTAGTCCTGATATAAGCAACTAAAGATTGGGGAAAAATGAACCAAACCAATATGTTTCTCCTTACCCAAAATAAACTCCAAATGCACATATTTTGACATTGAAAAAGTGAAGCTGCAATGAGAGAAGAAAACATGGCTAGGTATTTTTTAAACCTTCCATTGAAAGAGGCTTTGTATACAGTGTGTATATGTAAGAAAACATGAAGGAAAATGCTGATAAATCTGAGTAAATACAATCTGTTAAACTACCAATGAGAAAAAGCCTTCACTAGTAACATTTGAGAGCTTGCAACTATTTCTGTGAAGTTTTTTCATATCTTCTTTCAAACTTATTTTATTTTTACTACATTCGTCTACTTAATGGGGGGCATGCATGTGTGAAGGTCAGAGGACAAACTTGCAGAAGTTGGTTCTCCCCTTCCACTACATGTTTCCTGGGGTTCAAATTTAGGTTATCAAGTTTAGCAGCAAGCTCCTTTACCCACTGAGCCATCTCGCCTCTCTAAATGTTAAAAAAAAAAAAAAAATCAGGCTGTAAAAAAATAGAAAACGTAAAACACCACAAATGGATGTGCAATAAAAGCTATCCCTCCCATTAAAGACTGCCTGCTCCCCAGCTTCCCAGCACGCCCTTTTATAGTTTCTCTTGTATCCTTCAAGTAGTATCCTATGCATTAATAAGCACACGCCACATATACAAAGGTTTCCGCATCACAGATCAACCTGCTTCATCCTTTTTCATATTGTGCTTTACTGGTTAGTTCCTTGTTACTGTTTTCATAAGCAATGAACATCATCTTTCTTTGCCCACATCAGCTGCCATACCTACTTCCAGGATGTTTGTCATGCAGTAGAATTTATAGACAAGCCTAAAGCTATGAAATTGCCCTCCATAGAGGTGGCCCCAATTACACATCCAAGCTGAAATGTAATGGAGGCAGCTGGAAGGATGAGCCTGGGGCTCAAGGGAGAGATCAGAAGCTGGACGTAGAATTCAGGAGTAATCTGCATGGAAATGGTTTTGTAGGGCCATGGGGTTCAATAAGATTGCCTAGAGAGAGGATGAAAGAGATGGAGGCGAGAATGTTTGAGCTTGCCAAGACGTCAAGGCAGGAAAGAAAGAGTGATAAGAACAGTAAAAGAATCAGCAGCCATGGGTAGGAGAGAAAAAAACCAAAAGATCATTATCCTGGGAGCCTGGGGTAAATGCCAGATTCCAGGGTCTCCAAACAGAAAGAAAATAGAAGCTACATGTAGGAAACTCTTCCAAGGAAGTCTGCTGTTGAAGGGGCAGAATATGAAAGAGAACATGGGGTCCAGAGAGACACATTCTAAGCTGAGATACAATTACAGCATGCTGGCATGCTGCTGGAGGCAGTCCAGGAGGGAGAGAAGTGAGTGAGTGGTGAGAACAGGAGGGCCCCCACATAAGTCAGAGGGGTGGAGAGCCTCCTGCTCCCAGAGAGGCATAGAGGTGGGAAGCAAGGTGGATGTGCAGATCTGGGGAAAGCTAGACAGTAGGAGGAAGAGGAAGTTCTTTTGTGAGTGATCCTGCATTCTAAGGGAAATAAAAGGAAGCTCATGGGGGGGGGGCGGGAGAGAGAGAGAGAGAGAGAGAGAGAGAGAGAGAGAGAGAGACTGAGTTTGTAGGAAAGAAGAGAAAGTCAATACCTGTCTGGAAGCCTAAAGGAATGGACTTGCATCCACTGTAGACATGACGTTTCAATTTTCCACCATTTTTGGTATGATTTGCTTTTAACATAATGGATTTGACTGCTTGCTGAATGAAATATTTGATTCAGAGGGAGGCAATTGCCCCCTGGGGGGCTCCTGGGCAGGAAGAACCAGGGGAACTCAAGGATCACTAGAGGGGCTGATAAGCTTGGTTGTGTGTTTTATTCAACCAGGTTCATCTGGCTTAGTGAAAATTGGGGTTATTTAGAGTTGGCACTTTACTAGGTGAGCACAAGGGAGGAGGAGGAAGGCAAAAGAATTCAGTGCGTCTTTGAGGGAGTCCTCAGAGAGATGGGTATGAAACGCAAATGGAGTATGTTAGGAAGGGCATGACACAGGTGGTGGGCAATGAATGCATGAGGTCAGGCTGGGGAGAGGGTTCATTCACCAAAGTGCTTGTGCTGAAAGCATGAGGGACTGAATGTGATCCTCACAACTAAAGAAAAACAGAAACGGAAACAAAACAAAACAGTTATTCAGCACTCCTAAATAACTGGGAAGACAGAGATAGACAGATTCCTGGGACTTGCTGGCCAGCCAGCCTAGCCTGCTTGGTGAGTTTCAGGCTAGGGAAAGACTCTGTCTCAACAGAAAAGAGGAGGGAGGAAGAGAAAAAGGAGGAGAGGGAGAAGGAAGTGGGGGGAGAGGCTGTCAGTGCCTGAAAAATGATACCTGAGGTTGTTTTCTGGCTTCCACACTACATGCACACACACACGCACATGTCACACACACACACACACACAAACACTCACAGAGTGAGGTCAATGGTCTGAAGGTGACACGTGGATGACAGCTATCATTGATCCCCACCTGTAATGCAGAACTGGAAGAGTCTAAGTTGAGATGTCCACCCTGCTTGATTAACTTGGCTCAGAAGTTTCTGATCTGGGAATGCTGTCCCAAATGGATGAAGCTCAAGACAGTTCTCTTCGAGCTGGTGACTGACCCCTTTGCTGAGCTCACCATCACCTTGTGCATCGTGGTGAACACTGTCTTCATGGCCATGGAGCACAACCCCATGACCACAGCCTTTGAACACATGCTCCAAGTTGGCAACATTGTGAGTGACCTGACAGCCTGGATCTGCCTGAGCTATCATGGTGGAGACTTTGGGTGGGTGGGTGCATGCTTTCATTGGGTGGTATGCTAGTCTCCCCAGAGTGACCGGCAGAGAGACAATGCAGATATGTGGTCATTGAGCTCAGGAGGTCGAGGCTGGAAGAGCCAAGCTAAGCTGGAAGGAAATGCTTTGGGAAGAAAAAAGTAAGGAAGGTGGAAGGGGAGACCTCTGAGGTGTGAGCAGCTAGGTCCCTTTACAGAACATAGAATGTACCAGTTGGATCCTGTGGATCTCTGGGCCTTTGAAATGAAGACAAAAGTCACTCTCCCATCTAAAGATGATCTGTGGACTTAGAAGCTCCCTTCTGGTTTAATTACCTTTATAACCATAATGAACAGGCTATGGTCTCTCTCTCTCTCTCTCTCTCTCTCTCTCTCTCTCTCTTTCTCTCTGCATTCAACTGTTTGCATATGTATGTGGAGGCCAGAGAACAGTCTTGGGTATGGTTCCTCAGTAGCTGTGTGTGTGCACACGTGTGTGTGTGTGTGTGTGTGTACTGAGACAGGGTCTCTCACTGCCCTGGAACTTACCAATTAGGCTAGACTGACTAGCCAGCAAGCTTCAAGAATCTACCTCCCCACCTCCCCGGCACTGGGATTGCAACACAGGCCCCCACACCCAGCTTCTTACATGGGTGGGGTGGGTCACAAACTCAGGTCCTTGAGCTTTTGCAACAAGCACTTTGTAAAAATCTTTTTGAGACAGGGTCTCCCTGTAGTCCCAGCTGGCCTGGAACTCACTATGTAGACCAAGCTGGCCTTGAACTCACAGAGCTCCTCCTGCCTCTGCCTCCTGAGTGCTAGAACTGAAGGCGTGCACTACCATGCCCTGCACTTTGCAGCTAGGACTTTACTGGCTGAGCCATCTCCCCAGCCCCTAGATATGTTTTTCTTTTTTAAATTTTTTTATTTTATTTTTTATGTGTATATGTATGAGTATATTGCCTGCATATGTGTAAGTGCACCTGTGTTGTGCAATACCTGTGGAGGTCAGAAGAAGGCATCGGATTCCCCCGGAACTGGAATTACAGACAGTTGTTAGCCACGTGGGTGCTGGGAATTAAACCCGGGTCCTCTGTAAGAGCAGTTGGTGTTGTTAACCACTGAGCCATCTCTCTAGCCCTGGATATGTTTTTCAATGATGTCCTTAAAAGATTGATAGGAAAAACGGGAAGGAAGGAAGGAATGTGGAAATGCATCTGCTGTATAGAAAAAGCATTGGGAAACTAAACTTTTCTCTTACATGATGTTACTTTAAACTCTCCCCCATAAATTTTTAGTATTATTTGCTTTTTACAAGATAAAATCCATAATGCTGTTTCAGCATTAGGCAAGTCTCTGACACTGTCTTCTGTTTCACTGTCAGTAAGATGGGTCAGCACTAGACTTGCCAGAGGCCTTGGTGAGAGCCTGGGCAAAGCTTGACCCTGGTCTTTTTGTTTTTTCTCTTCTCTGTCTCCTTCCCTGCTGGCTTTTATAGCTTGACCCTGACCTCACTCAAGGTCCTATTAAGACAACTGAAGACCTTCAGTGTGGATAGGAATCTTAAGAAACCATGGATTACACTTCTTAATCACTGTTACTTCATGAATTACTGTCTACTGAGAACCACACAATCCTTAGCAATCATTATGCCCATTACATAGATGAAGAAACTGAGGTGTGGAAAGGCTGTATTACTTATCCATGTTTACACAATCTCGAAAGTGGCTGGGTTTGGATTTTATCTGAGTCTGTGTCATCCCACAACCCACACTTTTTAACTACTTAACCAGACTGACTCTTAATGATGTAATTATATGGTAATGGTTAGCCCAGTGATTATCTGCTTCCTCCACAGTGGGTACACTGTGATTCACATGGAAAACCTGAGGGGCTGGGGAGGCTCCTCAGCCGGTAAAACACTTGCTACACAAGGACCAGAGTTCAGACCCCAGCACCCATATAAATGTCTGTGGCAGTCTGTCTGTAATCCCAGCACTTGGAAAGCAGAAACAGGGGATCTCCAGAGCAAGCTGGCTAGGTAGGCTGGCCAAATTGAAGAGCTCTGGGTTCAAGTGAGAGATCCTGCCTCAAGATACAAGGGATAGAAAGATGGAGGAAGATACACAGTGTTAACTCTGATCTCTACACTCATGCATGCACACGTGCACACGCACACATATTGTACACACACACACACACCACCACCACCACCACCACCACCACCAAAAATGAAAAACTGAAGGCTGAATTCCAATGCATATTCCCTGTGCATTAGTGGCTCAAAATTCCCCATCCAGAGTCCTCAAGAGCACAGACAGTATAGAGATAGAACAAAATGGGATTTTCTGTTTTCTTCACTTTTATATGATTGTTTTGAGACAGAGTCTTACTGTGTACCACGGGTGGCCTTAACCTCAATTTCCTCCTGACTCAGCCTCCTGCATGCTAGAATTGCAGGCATGTGCTACCACCCCTGGAAGGATTTGCTACTTTATAAACAAGACATTTTCCTGTTGCCCTTTTCTTCTTTGCTCCCAACCCCAAAGACCTCACAGCAATGAAAACTGATCTCCACCCACAGGTCTTCACTGTGTTTTTCACTGCCGAAATGGTCTTCAAAATCATCGCCTTCGACCCCTACTATTACTTCCAGAAGAAGTGGAATATCTTCGACTGTATCATCGTCACCATGAGCCTGCTGGAGCTGAGCATAGCCAAGAAGGGGAGTTTGTCTGTGCTTCGGACCTTCCGCTTGGTAACGTTTTCTGTTGGCCACTTGGGAAATGCCCACATAGGGGAAGCTGACCCTTGGGGACAGACACTATGTTCTTTGGGGATGCTGCCAGCCAGCTTGCCTTTCCTCTCCTGTTCTCTGGGGTCCCAGCTTTTCACTGACTCTCAGTAGGAGTATGCCTTCTCTTCTCTGGGCATTGGCCCCCTGGTGTATACTAAGAGGGACTTCTGAACAGTGTCTTTTCCTGTTATCAAATAACAGTCAAAGCAATAACTCACAACAGCTGGTGTTTAATGAGCACATGCCTTGTTAAGGCACAATGCTACACCTGGAATGTAATAGACCTCGTTTTATGCTCTCAACCCTGGGAGACAATTGCTTTTAAAGTCCCCAGAATGAGGAACACAGAGATACACAGTGGTTAAATGATGACCCCAATGTCTCCTGGCCTCCCAGACAGCGAGCCAATGGCTGGCCTGGAACTCAAATCCACATTGTCTGACTTGTGGGTTTCAGCTCCTTCCTTCCTCCCTCAAAGAGGCATTCTCTTATTCCTTGGTGCCCCAAATCACAACGCAATACCTCACACCCACAAAAACCTGCCATCTGTTAGTCACCTGTGCAGCCTCTTCTCCAAACTCAGCTCCAGGGCGCTCTCTACAGGAGGAGTTCCTCTACTCCGGTCATTGGTTCCCCATTGCCTGCCTGCCAGCCAGCCAACTCATAACTGAACTCCATTTGTCAGCCAAATCTGTCAGGTTCCCAGGAGGTGAGTCTAGGGTCACTGGAGTCCTCAAGTCCTTGGTCCATCTGGAGAAACTTGGAGCATCACTGACTCTTGGGGTAAGCAAGAGGCCTGGAGAAATGGTGTGGTTTGTTACCATGGGTCTCTGTCCCCAGTACATGCCATAACATAACTCAGAAACAACCAAAAGTTGGCACCTTTGCTTCACAACCGGAGCCTACAGAATCCCCCAGAGGCACATATCCTACCCATCTACCGTCTGATCTTAGTATGTCAAGCAATTCACAATTCCCTAACCACATCCACCAGTCCCAGGTGTTCCTGTGATTTCTTCTGCTTCCTTCACAGCCTAGCTGAGATTTCATGGTCTATCAGTACTGTAATGTCCTCAATAACAAGCTCAACCACCTTTGCAGGACTATTTTAGATTTCAGAAAAGTTGACTACATGGTGTAGAGTGGTCCCCTATAGTCTCCCCCCCCAAAAAAAAACCATAGTTTCCACTCTTATATTTTGTTTGCTTGTGGGATTCTGTTTGTTTGTCTGTTTTTAGAGACAGGATCTGGTCTGAAACTCACTGTGTAGACCAGGTTGGCCTCAATCTCACAGAGATCCACCTGCCTCTGTCTCCTCAATTCTGGGACTAAAGATGAGCACCACCATGCACAGCATATGTCTCCTCTTTACAGAGGACCTTCCACACCCCACTATCTGAAATTGGGTTCCCTCTTGCTCTTTACAGATTTTAACTCCCATACTCTGATAACCCATATTGCTAAGCCCAGGGTTTTTTCATTTGCCATTCTATCCCAGAGGCTAAACACAAGGCCAGTATATAAGTGGGAGCACAATGAATACCTGTTGGTTGACTGGGAAAAGGAGAAAGGAAAGGGGAAGGAAGGCGAGGAAAGTCCATGTCTTTCTTCTTGCCCTTCCCCAGATAGCATCACTTTTATCCCCATCATTTAAGGCATGCTCCATTAGTGTACTGAGCTAGCTCTATGTTAGCATCACACTTCGTAATTACTGAAGCTTTGAATATGTCCGTGTCCACAAGGCAAATCACTCCTGTGATGGTTCATCTTCACTGCCAACTTGACTTTAGAAATCAACGTGGCTTTAGAAATCACCTAGGAGACACACCTGTGAATGTGTCTGTGTGGGTGTTTCCAGAGAGGTTTAACTGAGGAGAGATGAATCACACCAAATGTAAGTGGCACCATTTCACGAGCTGGGGGCCCAGACAATAAAAAGGAGGACACCAGCATTCGTCTATCTCCTTCCTGACTGAGGACACAGTGTGATTAGCTACCTCACCCTCCTGCCACCATGCCTGCCCCAGCATGATGGGCTATATACCCTAAAACCATGAGCCAAAACAAACCCTTCCTCTCTGAAATTGCTCCATGTTAGGTATTTGATCACAGAAAGGAGAAAAATAATTAATACATCCACCTTGTTTTCCTCTAAGAATATCTTGACCCCTGCCCTTCTGTATTGAGAATCAGCTTATCAAGTTCCATACCAACATATACACACAACTCTTGGGTTTTCTTTCTTCAGTAAGACTGCAATAATCTATTGGAAATTTGGGAAGAAATGTAAACTTTACATTATGTAATCTTCTGATCCATGAAGGTAGTATGTTCTCATTTATTTTAGGTCTTTCACATTTTATAATTTTCCCTTAAGTGTCTTACATATTCTGAAGTTTTCCTTGCTAATTTTTTGCCATCATTCTGACAGTTAATATTCTTGCATCCAGAAATCTCTTTTGTCAGTTCCCATGATTTATCTATAATCTTTAAAATTTTTCAACATAAGCCTATTGTGTACAAATAATGCATTTTTGTTTTTTTCTATTCTAACCTTCATGCCATTTGATTCTTTTTCCTGCATTAGTGTGCTGGTTAGGACATCCAGTACACTGCTGAAAATAAGTGTTAATACCAGACATGCCTGTTGTTTTCCTGCTGCAAAGAGAGTGCTTGCTTTCAATATTTCACCAAGTCTGACATCTTGGCAGCTTTGTTTTTAAAAAAAATTTTTTTTACCGGTTTAGAAAGTTTTCTTTTCCTGTTTATCTTGAATAGATCTTGTTGTTGTGTTCCGCATGTAAGACAGCTAAACATTCTACATGTAAGATAACCACATCAACAATTAACAATAATGTATCTCATGTTTCAAATGGCACAAGAGAGGATTCTAAATATTCTAGCCAGAAAGAAATGATACATACCTGATGCCTGACGTATATGCTAATTACCCTGTTTTAGTTATTTTCTATTGCTATGATAAAACCACTGACCAAAACCAACTTGGGGAGGAAAGTGTTTATTTGGCTTGTAGCTCACAGTCCATCAAGGGAAGTCAAGGCAGGAACCTGGAGTACAGACCATGGAGGAACACTGCTTACTGGCTTGCTGCTCTGGCCTATGCTCATCCTAATTTCTTATGCAACCAAGAACCACCTGCCCAGGGGTGGCACCACCAACCATGGGCTGGGCCCTTCTAAATCACTCGACAGTCAAGAAGATGCCCCACAGACATGGCCTCCGGCCAAGCCAATGGAGGTGATTCCTCAATCGAGGGTTCCTCCATCCAGGTGTGTTAAGTTGGCAACTGAAGCCATCCAGGACATACATGATTTGAACCTTGTACAATATATGCAGAAACTGAAGTGTCACCTTCTATCTCATATGTGTGATTACTTTGTGTTAATCAAAAACAAAAATATCAGGTTCATTCTTTTCCTAAAAGATTAAGAAAATCACAATCAGATAGCCACACTGGGGGCCGGAGAGATGGCTCAGTGGTTAAGAGTGTGTACTATTCTTGCAGAAAATCCATTAGTTCCCAGCACCCATTTTGGGTGACTCACAATAGCCTGTAACTCCACTCCAGGGGATCTGACGACCTCTTCTGGCCTTGATAGGCACCTGCACTCATGTGCACATTTACACACATGCACACACACATTATTAAAAACTAAAATTGATTTTCTGTCACTAAATCAACTTTACAAGTGTAGTCTCAACTTGATCATGGTGCGTTAACACACTAAAAGATTGAGTTTGCTAATAATTTTCTTAAGATGTTTACATCCATATTGATGAGTAATATTTGGCCTATAGGTTTTTTTTCCTTAATTTATATCATCTTTGCCAGGTCTTGGTATCAAGCATATGCTAATCTCCATAAAAACAGTTGAGAAATATTCCCTTTTTCTACACAGAATCTTTTCATAAGACTGGAATCAGGAGAGACTCCCTAGGGAAGCCATCTGTGAGGGTCAAGATTTTTTGACAATGATTTAGTTTTCTTAATGGCTCTGAAATTAGTTGGACTTTATATCTCAAGCTGGTTTAGTAAGTTATTTTTTTCTAAGAATTTTTCTTCTTATCTAGATAGTTTTACTGCCACAAAGTTAGGAATGCTGTCTTATTTCTCTTTAATGTATATTTTATTTGAGTTTTTGTGCATTTCATACAATAAATCTTAATCATATTTAGACCCCCACCCCCATCCACACCTCCCATAGCCTCCCCCTCCACTGGATTTCATGCCTAATGTCATATATATTAAGGCCTGTCCGGTCAAGCTTTTGCGCTCCAATGTCTTTCTGTGGAAGTTCATCCCCTGGGGTCTAGTCAGCCTATCTAGAGTCACTTGCTTAAAGATCAACTCTCCCTCACCAGCAGTAATCAATTGCCAATAGTTCCTCGGCTAAGGTTAGGGCCTGCTGCCGTTTCCCCAGTTCTATGCTGGGCTTTATTTCCTAAGGACCTGTATCACCTGTGCTTGTGCCGGCCTTTCCTTAGCAAGGATGACTTGCGCTTCCTCTTATCATTTCTCATCAGTCTTACCAAGGGCCATCGATTTAATTAGTTTCATCAAAGAACCAACTTGTAGCTTGTAGAACCTCTCTACATCATTGATGTTTTCCCATTTCAATTAATCCTGCACCTTAATTACATCCTCCACCCTACATATTTTGTTTTTTCCTAACTGCTCACCATGCCATTTTTGATCTGTTTTCTTTTTCCAATATATTCGTTTAAAACTTCAATTTCACTCTAAGAACTGCTTTAATCTGCAAAATTTTCCTTGTTGTTTGATTCTAAATGTTTCCCAATTTTAACTTTGATTCATCCTTTGTCTCGAAGGTTAATTAGAAGCGTGGTTCTTCATTTCAAAACACATGTGGTATTTGTGGTTGTGCCACTGGGTTCTGGCCTAATTGTATTATAGTCAAAAAACATATGCTGTAGATTTT